CCCCCCAAAAAAAAAAAGATAAGAAAACTAAATAAGAAACATAATCACGGTCAAGAAATTTTCTCATATTTTGGCGAAAAAATATTACTATTCTAATTAATAAAAACATCCTTTTTATATAGACTAACACGTAGTCCGTACAGTGCATTGGATAACAATAATAAACTTTATAAATTAAAGCAATTGTTGATGTCATATTATATTAGTATAGGTTTTCTCTTTTATACCCTTAGTAAGTTAGTTTCTTGTAGAGCAAGTTTGTGTACCCTTGTAACCCTAATTGATTTTATATATTAATGTGAGAGCCGTATACGAGATCATCAGATTGATGACTCGATCAATATCTTTCTTCCTCTTTCTGCTTTATCATGGTATCAGAGAGCAGGTTAAATTTTTAAGATTTTTTTTCTTTCTCTCGTTCTCCTGCCATGGCCAGTACAAGCACCAGTGAGACTACTACCCGAAAAACAATCTCCCCCTACGATATTACTTCGAGCGACAACCCTGGCCTTTTGATTACTCAAATTCAATTAAAAGGAGATACGAATTATGAAGAATGGTCTCGTAGTATACGTACTGCTCTTCGTGCACGAAAGAAGTTCGGATTTTTGGATGGTTCGATCGCGCGTCCGTCTGCCAACGATGAGTTGTTTGAGGATTGGCAAGCCAACAACCTTCTTTTGTTATCCTGGCTTATGAACAGCATCGACAGCACGCTTCGATCTTCAGTCGTGGAACCGGATTATGTCGAGGACCTCTGGTCTTCCTTGAAGGAACGATTCACGCTGAACAATGGTCGCAGAATTCAACAACTCAAATCCGATCTTGCGTCCTGTAAACAGAAGGGCATGAGTGTTGAAGCATACTACGAAAAAATTTCAAAAATTTGGGAAGAATTGGCTGATTACGATAAACCTCCAATGTGCAGTTGTGGTCTCTGTAAATGTAATTTGCCGGCTGCGTGGAATCGTAAACAAGAAACCGAGAGAGTCCATCAATTTCTCAAGGGCTTGGATCCGACTCTCTACGGTCCCACTCGATCACATCTCCTGGCCCAAGATCCTCTGCCGACATTGAATCGTGTGTATTCCACTTGCATTCAAGAAGAACGCATGCGCACCATCTCCGTTGCAGAGGATGATCTTGCTCCTGCTGCGGGCTTTGCTGTTCGATCGGGCCCGATTTTGTTCTCTCGCGGGCCTGAAGGTACTGTCGGCGGTGGTCGCACAGGTGGTGGCCCTCCCCTTGCGCTGCCAGCATCTGCTTCTGTGCCGCCGGTAACGGGTCCCTCAACCGAACAGTCCGGCGGTTCTGCGGGCGGTGGCAGAGGCCGACAGCGGCTGTGCTCTCACTGCGGCAAATCCGGACATCTCGCGGCCAGCTGCTTTGAAATTAATGGCTTCCCGGACTGGTACCCCCGTGGTGGTAGTGGACGCCGGGGTGGACGGCGAGGCCGCGGTGGACGTAGCGGCGGAGCTCCAGTCCAAGCTCATGTCGCCACAGCCGCGATCCCGGTTGGAACAAATCCAAATGCAGGTCTGACCTCTTCCGACCGCCTTCTTAGTGGTCTGACTAATGAACAATGGTCTCAACTTGTTCATCTAGTTAATTCTGCTAAACATGACAGTAAGTCGTCTGGT